CCCCCTCCCCCCTAGCATTTGACAGAGGTGTTTCGACCTTTGCTTCCACTTTGGACTTTGGCTTGTACACCCTGTCTTGCTAAGTGTCTCTTGGCAATTCAATGGAACTAAAATGAAATTTTGTTCTCGTAAATTTCTAATTGAGGTTATTTTAATTTTTTTGCTATTTCTACAAGTGTTGCACCTCCTTTCTGGGACCACATTGATTTTCGCTCTTATTTCGTCTCCATCTTAGTTTAGAGTTTTACAGTTAGCTGTTGAACTCAGGTGGGCAAAAATTTTGTATTGAAAGGTTTTGCTGGCAGTTATTTTAACTCTAAATATCTTAAAGGGTTAAAGCGTTTTACTTTCCTTATGCCACTTTCCTAAAGGCCACAATTGTCTTCCATCGATTTTCAGCTGTACTTTATTAAATGATCGCTTTCATATTCTTTTTATATTCATTCCAAGGATTTCTGCTACTTTATTAACAATTGTGTTGTTTGAAAGGTATCAGAAAAAATTGCATATGGTAGAAATTTTAAATCGAGCTCAAATATATTTATCCTCATCAGTGTAGAGTATCCGCCTATTCTCCATCATTCTTGATCACATTTGGCCTCCGTCTGTTGATTAAAATTTTGATAATGTCTTGTTTTTTCCCACCTCTATGGCGTCATTACCTGTTGCATCAATAATTCAATCTGCATTTTGTGAACGTAACTTGTAACATCTACTTATTTGATTTAAGTAATTGGTTTGTTTGTCTATATTTCCCTGCTTCCCACACCGATATGCACCTACACTTGAATATTTATTTCAGCGCAAATCAACTAATGCGGCAATAATTAGAGCCTTTTTTATTTTATTAACACTCCTCTGATGTCGGAGTTTAATTCTTCTTTTTATAGACCCCAGAGCAACTGCAGCAGCAACCTCAGCCCACTAGTCAAACTCAACAGCAAATGTTCACACCGACTCCATCACAAACCACTGGTGTGCCTCAACAACCACAGCCAACGCAAACTGTAGGTGGTGCAAAGCCCAAGAGAAAGATAAGTCAAGCGAAGCCTCAAACCTCTTCCCTTCGCTATATTATTCGTATAACTCATATCGAGCGCGAATCTGAGGGCTGTGACATTCCGGGTACCCTCCGACCCACCTTCCACTTGGAGATGCCGGATGTCATGAATCCAAAGAGCGAGCTCTGGAAGCTGAGTTTTCGTTGTAACCTTTCTGATACTACCGACGACATCAAATTGGTGAGTTTAGTAGGAATGGGCTTTAGGCTATTAATCCTCCCCCCCTCTCTCTCTCTTTATGCACACAATCGCATTGGAGTATATGCCATGTTCTTCTCACTCGGTTTGGATTTAGATGTCTGCTTGTTGTTAATCATTTTCGCGTAGTTTGACATTTTATTAGTTTAAATTTTTGACCTAATTTTTAATCGAGGTTGTGATCGCTTAGAGATCAAACCGAAATGTATGATCTATAACTTTTAGTAGAGAGTTAACATAGGTTTCGGTGAAATTTGTTGAGCTCCTTTAATAGAACTTCATCAAATGTGCAAGAAGGCTGAATCTAACCTGCCTGTTATAGTAGTGATTGGTATCTAAAAGAACTTAAATCAGGACTCATGGAGTCTGTTTTAGCCATCCCTCATACTACTCAATCTCATTGGATTGCTCCGATTCAAGGATATGTCAAGTTAGATTTGTGAAGCGTCAGAAATCATTAAGGAACAATAGGGTCTAGGTAGTGAATGAGCATGTGTATGCATACTGAATCTCAGAAGGAAAAGACATCAAAATCCAATGAAATTTAAGGAGAAGGTCGGTAAAGACCACAGACTGGACGATGATAGCCCACTCCACCACTTTAAAGCAACTCCAATCTGGAGTGTATTCAATGGTTGTTTCGAACAGGATGAATAGTTTACATTCCGCTACTTTTAGCCCCTCTAAGACGCCATCTTTTCTGACTTACTACATTAATCACCGTGGCACTACAAGCGATTTTAGGAAATTTTAATCAGTTTGTTGCTTCCGATGAAGTTTGGCATGACCAGAATATGGAGTGAGGCATGGCATCAAATTCTACTTTATTTCCATTCTAGAGCCTTTGCATTCTCTAGTGTTCTCATAAGTGATATAGTTCTGTGGTTAATGTCTCAACAATAAAACTTTTAATGGATTGACTCGCAGTTTGGAGAATGTTACCATTTTTATGTTGTCGCTTTGTCATTGGATTTCATTGGAGGTGACATCTTCTCAACTAGCCACACCACAAGACTTAGTTGTGATAAGTTAAGCTCCCATTGAGCAAACTAGAAAGGAGGTTTGCCATGATCTAAGTGGGACGACGTATGGAGGTAGAGTGTCAGGCCTGAAGGCCAGGTTGCTTAACCTTTGAGGTTGGAATGAACAACCTAAGGACCCAGATTGTGGTGCTAGTGCCGATTTACCTTAACACCTACCACCGTTGGTCTCATCGTGGTAAAGTGACCTTTTTTTGCCTTAAGACTGTCACCTCTAGTTTCGTGACAGTTTTTTTTAAAATTATTCTGAAGTGCAAGTGGAGGGAGGTAGGTGAGCTACAATTGATTTCTACTGCTAACCCCAGCGTTCGCATTATTAATCAGGGGTAGCTAAACTATCCCAATACGCCCCCCAAGTTGGAATTGTTGAGAGTGGTAATATTCCGCTTATTTAGCTTGTGCTTTAAAGTACTATTTTTGATTGATTTGTTGCGCATAGTTTTACCAAACCCCTAATACCCAGGGATGGTGGGGGTTGGGGGGGGGGGGGGGGGGTGAATAGGCGCGTTGGATTTTCTACGAAATATTTAATGTGAAGCTCGAAAATTTTGCAAATTTATGATAACCGTCGCAGATATCATCGATGGCACTTCAATATTAACTCGTGGGTCATTTCAAATAGTAGATTTACTGACTAGGGGATCCATTAATGGGGATGGTTTTTTCTTGTTAAAGGTGAGTGCTCGCGAGCATTCTTGATCAGGAAGAGTATTCCGTATCCCCTATCTTAGCCAGTATAAGCTCGATTATCCATTTCGCTCACTAAATGTGCAATAAAATCAATAACCACTTGCGTCGTAGACTTGCAATTTGACAGTTCTACATATGGGTTGACGATTAAGGAAGGTGAAATCTTTGAACTTAGCTTAGTATGCTTTTCTCTTAGTGCCTTAACATTAACCAACGCTTTTAACTTATTCAATGCCAGCTTTACAACGCCTCCTAACAGTTTTGTTACCACTAACATCTTTTTTACCACTTCTATATATATGTGCTAATTGTTATGATTAAAGCTGAAGGTAAGTTTAATTTGCTTTCTGTTTCGCTTATTTTTGTTTAATTTAATGCCTCTCTAGCGTCCTTTCATTTTTTATATCACCAACGCAAATTCAAAAGATTTGAAGATTTGAGAGACAGAATGTGAATGGCATAGGACTCTGGTTGTCTTAATTATCGAGAATGACTGAATTTGAAGGACGGCTTTGTGCGTCTGTTTATGTGATGCTGAAATGGCCTTCGCCATCAACTGCGACGCCCCTTGATTCTGGCGACCTTAGGGACGATGAAAAATAATCCAACTTGATGTTTAATGATGGGTGCATAAGGCGCGTCTTAGCGGCAGAACGTTTCACTTATCACATCTTTGGACAAATTAGATAAATCTGGAAATTGTGCTCAAAGCTTATCATTTGATTAGACTTGGTAAATTGGAGGTACTACAGAGTTGATATGGGATGAATATTTCACTCAATTTGCTTCTTATTTATTAGGAATGGGGTTGTATCAAAGCTTGGAAGCAGAAGGCGAAATCTCGGCGAATGGTTGTGGAAACGCGGACCAACAGCCCTGGAGTCATTATCATTATGATAGCCGCTGTCTTTAATGTTTTTGGGGGGCAAATTTTCAACGCCTCTTCTGCTCGCTTTGCCTTTGATGTACTTTTCTTTTAACAGGAACAATGTTTAGCCCAATTATAACTAGACAAAGCTTTGTTCTCTTCAGCCAATAGCAATTCCTCGGTTCAAATTTTGAGCAAATTTATTGGAAAATAATCACGCCGACTAAAAAAATAGCTTAACGTTTCCACATGACGCAATTTTTTAACCGAGATTTTCAGAAACCTACTCTTCAACTTTGATGATCAATCGATTAATCGGAAATCAATACTCCATTACACTGCTCCCGAAATAATAACGCTGCTGTCACCTAACTTTACACCCTACTCAGCACCTTGGAGTGCGAAAAGTTTGATTATCCGTTCTCGAAAATTCCTTGGATGACCATGAAGATTTTAAATCTTGAAAAGATGCAATTCTCTTTCAATTGAATATTTTGAACCCCTGCTATATTAAAGCGCATACAAAGTCGAGGTAATGGAAATCAGTCAAAATGCCGAAGGAGTCTTCCATGCGTTTGTTTAGATCTTCTATTCCCGTCTCTCAAAGTCAAACTTTCACCTCAAGTGAAGTTGCAAATGATGGCGAACGGTAGTGCTGCTAATTTTCTGCTAATTATCATAGGAAAGAAAGCGATTCTTCTCACTCTCAATGAGGCAATTATTCCACAAGCTTAGAGAACATTAGCGTGGTGTATTATTCTATTTTCAAAAGGCCCCTCTTTAAGTGGATGATGGGTTGTTCAACTCAATTCTTCATGTTGCTGTAATGGAATTATGAGGTCTCGTGAGTATTTGCCATCTTCTTTCAATGAGTACACAAGAAAAGAGTGCGGAACTAACGTGGAATGCCTTGAGAAAAGGATTGTGAACGGAAAACTTGAATCTCTGTTTAATTGAATGGGAGTGAAAATGTGGTATATGAAAAGCTAACAGGTATCAAGGATTCAGAAATTACTTCGCGTCGTTGGTAGAATCTGTTTTTACGCTTGCAATTGGACTAATTGTACTCTATCACACGATGCTCTGAACCGTCCTAACGTTATTTACGAATTAAAACAAAATAGAACTGCAAGCGTGCATTTTGAAAATTTTGTACAAGTTGGAGCAGGTGGGAGTGGGGGATGGGATTAACATTGATCAGAATTGGTGCTGCTGAGGGTATATGTAATATTACCTATACTTTACTGCTTTTATCTGGTGTGATAGGTTGGGATATCAACTATAGCTTTTTTATCACTCACTAAAATTCTATGGCTGGAAGTTGGGCTTCTTTGACTTTTATTTTATCATTTTAACTGTCAAAGTAAATCAATCGAGGCTCCAAGAGATCTTATGGTTCACCGACCGATTGTTCCTACCTATCTCGAGTATTTATGTATATCCTTACCTCAAGAGAATTTTCTGAAGAACAGTAAGACATAATTCTTCCATTTACATGCTGACGTTTGCAGAAAGATTATAATAACTTCTCTCTACGAATAGGATCTTTTACAGCATTTCCACAATAGTACTATGGGTATTGTTTTAAATACCTTGAGTAGTCTAATCTTAGGAATTCGGTCTCTCAGATCATACCTTATCAAAATTAAATTTCATTATCAAATTTTATTAGAACAAGCTTCGCCTTTTCACTGCCAAGAAAAGCTTCCCTAGTTCGCTTTCCAAATATTCTTTCGAGTCGAATGACATCTGGAATTGCAGCAAACGATTTTCTAATGTTATTTCAAGGAAAATCAATTGGTGGTGTCAAGAAAATTGTTGGTCTAGACGGATTCTCTTTGCTAAAACAAATGGCAGTGACGTATTTCTTATGAATTCATGAACTTCCATCCCCGGAGAACTCAGTGGTACGCTATTTCTCTCGATTGTTCGCAGAAAAGAGAATAGTAATGCTGTTTCACTACCGTCGTTACGATTGTTCTGCAGTCACAACTACTTCAACTGCCAGATTTCTTTAATTTCCATGTGTAACATCAAAACACTTATCGATATGTGGGCATTAACTTGAATGCGATCCTCTTCGAAAGCACCTTTGAGAAAACAACAAATATTAGCAGCATGCACTTCGAAAGCCTAAAGAATCATGTCTTTCTGTCTCCTACCCAAACTTCTAGCTTGAATAGTGTCATCTATGTCAATCAATTGGCGACTTCTTCTGTTTCAACAATAATCACACAACCTATGGTAGTTACATAACCTCTTTCAGACTCACGCAAGTGCCCAGGGAACCATGGTATGTGAAACTGCATCTGTACAATCAAGCTAGTGGAGAATACATGTATTGTAGGCATTCAGGACTCGCGTGTACAATAAACAAACAGATGTATTGGTAAACGACTTTTACGCGGGCAAAAAATTACGCAAAGGTGACCTTCATATCTTTATGAAAGCCGAGATTATATCTCATTGATTATTAATGGAGAAGGTGGTTGGACATTGTGGGTCTTCATTGATAATGACGAGGAATTAGAGAATTAGCACGAGTGTCTAATCAAGGTTGGCGACACGGACTAATTACCATGGAAACCATCTCAATATGATTAGTGATAACGGTGCACATCTTGAATTCCGTCTGCGTCTACCACGATCTGATCAAACTTGCCCTGCGGACCAAAAATTTGGAGGATTTTGGTATCCTTGGTGGATTCTCAAAGTTCGATGAAATAGGGACAACAATACGTCACCGAATCTATACCTCACTGGATACTTATTCATTGCGACTTATCGAACGCAGACTAATTTGGCTAGATGATGACAAGGCGCTTGTGGATCCAAGCCTAGGACAGGCATTTACGTTTGATCTTTATAAGTCCGCATAGCCGTGACTTCAGTCACATAATGACAAATTATTCTTCACATGCGCGTACTTTTCTGCACAAATTTCTATACCTTAAAGAAGGGCGTTTAAATCCTTCCTTTAAATGTGTATTCGTGTGCCGATCAACGTTTTGCTCAACCACCACAGGCCAGAGAGAGAGAGAGATAGCGGTAGATCGATTATTGAATTGTTTATTTGACGTCTTGGCTCATGTTGTTGCAACGCAAATTCTCTGGTCGTGAGGTACATATCAGCATATATATTAGCGAGGTGTATCTTAACCGCTGCTGTAGGCTAGTATTATTGCCTAATTTAAACCTGGTAAGCTTGTAAGTGCTCTATGCTTTTTGCTCTTTCTTTTCATTGGTCGCCTGTGTTGTGGCGCTATTAGTTGTTACGCATAATTGTAATTTCAAAACACGTGCACGTTCTGGTTTCTTTTCACACATTGTAGTTTGAGGGCGTCGGCTACACTAAAAGTAACGAGGAGGTTGACAGAGCCATCAAGGAGGCTGTCGCTCTCATGCTTCGCGCCCTCCAAGCAGACGAGAACTCCATACCTCTGAATCACGACTTCGTCTTCTATCCACAACTTTCTCCGGAGTTGATCAGTCTCTCCACTCGCTGTTCGGCTCTACCAACTCATCCGTTCACTGAACAGGTTCCACAGGCTATTGAAGAGATTGGACGTCCTCCATCGTTGTCAACTGCGTCGAATATCGTTAATCCTAGCGTCTGTCCTCCTCCAACTGCTGATCCAAATGGGACTAATTTCGGTATTTTTATTTTTACCTTTGGTGATTTTGTTCGTTAGGGGACAAGATCAGTATAACAACTTTCTTGATGGTTACCACATAAACCTTGTCATCTTTCACTGTGCGTTTATCCTGAAATATTTATTACCACATTTGCTCTTTTTCTTAATGTACTTTTAAAAAAACTGTTTAACGCCTTTGTTAATGCCTCAGTGCGTCTGCAGTTGGTAATTAATCATAATTGTTCCAGTGTTAGTGTTTATTGGAAATGAAGTATCTCGAGTTTACTACAGGAAATCCAGTCTAACTATTGGCTTTAAAAGTATTATTTTGCTAGTAAATTAGGTGTAAATCAATTAACTAAAGGCTAAGATGGTTGGAAGTGACTTCCCAATGTGATTTCAGTTAACGAGGCGCAAAGAGAGAAGGCTGGTTTACTGGTGGCGGAATTTTGTCGAATGATATCCGCCTAGATCATCGAGTAAAATGTGCACTCTGCGTGGTGTAATTCGTTAATTCAGATAAACAACCTAACGATGAAGCGCCATTTTTTTGTATAAAATGGATGAAAACAAAGTTAAAGTATTAATTTCATCGAGGAGCAAAATATTTTTCAAACCAGGTTAAGGCGCTGGGCCTTCGTTGTGTGTGGCCTCTTGAGCTTTTTTATATCGCCTATTGGAGGTTAATTCGTTGACATGGGGGCATAATTCTGTACTGATCCCTCGGCATCTTTGTGTTCAAGTAGCTTCTTTTCTCTAAATGAGGTGAAGGATGCATTTTCCATCTAATTCCAAGTCTTCAATGCGCTTGGGGTGGGGGAGGGGGGGGGGTTATTTATTCTGAGCTAATTAGGCATGAGTTTTCTAGGAATCGGGTTAGGTGGGGAGAGGTTCAAATGGCGAGAATTCCTTCTGACTTAATTATCCTGAAGGGAGGGGGGGGGGCGATGTCTTTGTCTTTAATCTTTTGTGGCCTTTGTCTATGATGTGTGCTTCAATCATTGAGCCAACTTTGCTGGTCTGCCCCACCCCCACCCCCTATTATTAGTATAAGCTCTTTGGTAAAATGTATAGTCAATCAGTCGAGCCTCTCGTTTCTTAAAAGTAAATGTAGTTAAAAGTGTCACTTTATTATAAATTGCTGCGATTTCCTTTCATTTACTGTCATTTATGCAAATTTGGCGAAATTCTTCCCTTTCAAATCTTTCATCAAAACAGTTTTCGCAAACCGTAGGTTTATTTTGTCTCAATTCGGCGGGGGGGGGGGGGGGGGGGGGGGGGGGGGGGGGGGGGGTGGNNNNGTGGGGAGGGGAGGAGGGGGGTTGGGGAGTTGGCTTAAAGAGCTTTCTTACGCATTCTCTAATTATTGGAAATACCGACTAATGAATTACGCCGTACCATTAAAATTCACTTAATTTAACATTTGAAGAGTAGAAAAGTAAGTCCTAATTGAGAGAGCTAACCAATTACTATCAAGGTTTATTTGTATGTGCTTGTTGGTTTTTTTTTTACAATCCGTAACTGGTGTGTGTGTGTGTGCGTGTGTGCATTGCATATGTGTTATCAATTTTGTCACTTTTAACACCCATGTTTCTGCTCTAAGTTCGTCCTTGAAATTCATTGACAAGTGTTTTCTACTCTGTCACCTGTTTACGCGTATGTATAAAATGGCTTTTATTATCCCAATTTAATCAATCAATCAATCGAACGCATTCGCTTAATTCACAATCGAACCACGTAACACAGAATTTGTTTAATTACTTCTTCTTCTCAAACTGTATTCTTTTCTAATGTTCAGCACAGGAGGGCGATTTGAGTGATACTACCCCATCAGCTGAATCTCCAGTGGATAGGAATTTGCACCAAGCTTTCACAGCAGTCCCAAATATGCCCATGGAAGGCGGTACCTTTCCCTTGAATATCCCCTCCTATTTGAACCAAGTCCCTTCTCTTGTTTCTTACCCTGGCTCTGGTCTAGAGGAAGTGCCGCCAATATTAAATATTGGACAATCCGAGAATGTGGTCTATGCTTCTTCTAACTCGGCGCCTTCTTTTCCCGTTCAGATGGAATCCACTCATTTCTACCCAACTGAGTCGGCCAATACATATGACAGTGTGGAGTCCCTGCCTGTGTATGTCAATCCTTCATTTGGTCATCCGAAGGATCCGGATGTTTTCGTGACCTTGAAAGTTCCAGCTCATGCTCAAGCACTGGCTGCCCAATTCGCTCATCACTTGTGCACAAGCCGACGTAGTGATCCAATCCTAATTGTTCCTAGTGATGCAAACACTTCGGGGTATATGTCAGTGCTGTATGAAAATGTTTCCTTCCTTTGCTCAAGAAACGGAGTAGGGAGTGGATTTAGCGTTATGCCTATTCCTGCAACATCATCTTTCCTGGAGGTTCAGAATAAACCGAATTTAACTCAAAACAGTAGCAAAGTGATACGAGCTCCTTACAATGGTTATGTAGTTGTTAACCCCGAGGGAGAGATGCACTGTGTTCAAAGGCCGATGGTTATTCTTCCAGGAAACACTCAGCGCCCTCTTATGGAATTGCCCCTATTGTCGTCTGATGGGTCTTCAGTTCAATTGGATGATATTGTCACGCTGTTGATGCATTTACGTGAGGGAGCAGGGTCGAGTGGTACTTCGTCTTCTACCACCGTATCAAGAGATCAATCCACAGTGGATACAAACTACTATAGTTTGCCCTTAAATGCTGCCAGACCTCCACCAACACTTCAGGCGTCACACCAGTCTCAACAAGCCTCTTTCACTAGACAGCAGGCTCAAGCCTCTATTAACCTTAGGCCGCCTCTTCCACCCCGATTGCCGGCTGGATCACTTTTGCATGCAGACTTATCTGGAATGACACCCAGCTCATCCCAGGACTATCCCCCGCCTCAAGCGAATAAACCACCGACGGCGGTCTCTTCGAATACCACTCGTCCACAGCCTAACCAATCAGGGCAGAACCAGCAACTTCAGCAAATATTGGCCTCGGCTCTTGCTGCTCAGGGAACCAAGGCGGATCAAGTTCAACAGCAGCAGCCCCAACAACAACAAATGCTGTCTAACGTGGATTATGTGAGTTTTCGGAAGTTGAATCTAACTTGATATTGTCTCTCTCTCCCTCTCTCTCTTTGGGAGTTAATCGTTGTCACTTTTGTTTCCTTTCAGTTAATTTCTCTCCTCTCCACAAATCCCTCCCTCTTTCAAGCCATCTTATCATCGATGTGTAACAGCGCCACTCCCTCTTCAGTCCCCTCCCAGCCTTCTTCAAGCGCCAGCCTCCCTGCCGCCAATACAACACCTCAATCTTCCGCCCCCTTGTCTCTGTGGGCTAGCAATGCCTCATCCATCGCAAGTAGCAATGATCTCGTGAAACAGCTTCTCATGCGCTCATCAGGTGCTGCCATAGCTGAGGGAATTGGCGGAGGCTATATCTTACAGGCTCCACCTCACTCAGGTGGTGGAATGACTTCTGCTGCACCGCCGACCGCTCCGATTACTTCGGGTGTGGCTCCACAACAGGTTCCCACTTCTGTATCTGCGGCAGTTCAACAGGTGTTTACTACTTTGCCTCCAGCCCAGTCCCAGCCTCATCAACCTCAAGCTATTGAGATGGTGTATGAACAGAACACTGGGCCTGCTATGCAACCACTCCTGGTGCCCACCTCTCCATCATCAGTCGTATGTCTTTTTTTCAAGCACTTTTTTCATCACATTTAAGTTGCGGCTAAGTTGCTTTGGGTTTTAACACTAACATTAATTTACTCGGCGCTCTGACTACGGCTCTGGTTGGTTTGTTGTGGCGTAACGGCTTATTTCCCTTTCTACTCATTTCATCGTACCATTCGCTGGTAGATAGAGCACGTTTTAATTGGATTATATGCTTGAATAAATTATTTTCATCGCCATTGTTTGAATTGACAAGAAGGTAGACTTATCAACATAGTGTAATTAGTCTTGCTCAGTTGCCATTTCTCAAGGTCACTTTATCCCGTGGGTACGCAGCACGAATCTAGATCGCGCACTATTTATACCTTGGATACCAGTAGCGTTGCTATGGAAAATCTATGATAGAGTTGGCATCGCCTAAGATAGCTAAACCACGTCAAATCGCTATTTGCACCTTGAAAAAAAGTTAATAAACAGGAAGGCAATGTCGACGCATTGGAAGTTTCAGAAAAGGAATTGAATGTTAATGATTGTTTGGTAACACAAACGACAGTCATTTCGAGTGATAATAATGTCTAGTGTCAATACTATTCTCTTCTGACATACTGTCATTAATTTTGATAGGTCATCAGCACTTGAGTTTATCTTAACTCTAAAATTTGTGGGGATGAATATGCAAACTATTTGATCATATAACTTCCTGCTCTTCATATTGGCAGTTCAATTTACTGAAAGTACATGTGTTCGGTGTCCTTTTAGTGCAATGTCCAGCCTTTTTCCCTTAAAAATTGACTGCGGAATACCGATGTACCTATGGAACGTTACCTCCAAGCTCTTTGCTACCACTATCGGAGCAATACTCTTATGCATTGTGTTTCCTTAATTCAGATACAGCCTCGAATGACTCAACCTACAATTGCAGTTCCAATTGCGACCCAACAGCCGCAAGTGTCTCAGCAACAAGGACAAATTGCTGCCAACCCTCCACCACAACCGATGCTCCAGCAACAACCCCCAGCACTAGTACCTCAACAAAGCCAACAACCACCTCAAGTTATTCAACATCAAGTTCAGCAACCACCAGCCGCCAAAGTTATGCAGCAGCAGCAGCAGCCCCCGCCACAACAAATTCATCAAGTTCAACAGTCCCTTGCTCCTCAAGTTATTCAACAACAACAGCAACAGCAACAGCCGCAATCAACTCAACAAGTGCACCAAGTTCCACAGCATAAGCCTCAGTCCCAAGCGGCCCAAACCTTACAACCCCAGCCACCACAACAGCACATGCCAATCCCGGGTTCAGTTGGCAATCAGTTGGTTGGAAATGGTGCTGTTGAGGCGACAAAGATGCCGGCTCCGCATAAAATTCCCGCTCCTCTGACTTCAGTGAGTTGTTAATAATTTTGTTATGGAAGAAGTTTGTAAGCTGTTCAGAGTTCTATGGCCTACACTGATTAATATTTTGTCTAAGCTGCCTCAGTTCGTCATACACCACAATATAAATCCAAGGTCGTGCAGTGGCTAGAAGTTGTCAGAAACCGAGGAGGAGACTGCGAAATCGGTAGATTAGATCACGTTGAATATGTTGAATTTCAGTTTCTAAGGCAAATATTTTAGGACCAAATCGGTTTAAGACATGCATTAGTAGAAGGAGTTCAACTTCTACAGTGCCCTCAGGTCACTAGGGAGTTCGGATCATTGAAGCTCAATAAGTGGGGTGTGTAAGTGCCTGCAGAAAACCAATGGGAGAATTGAGGTTATGTTTAATCGAAAGTAAGGACAGAATTATAAGGATTAGATTAATCACTTCTCAAATGTTCGATTTCAGGTGCCTCAGGTTCAACAGCCCATGGTACCACCACCTCACCCACCTTCACAGCCTGTTGCCATGGTATCCCAGCCCTCTCCTCCTCAAGTTGTAATGGCGCCAACTATGCCAGTTGCTGCTGCTCCCCCTCAACAGCCGCTTCCACCGGTACTTGCTCCCGCCTCGGTTGCTCTCATCCCCCCAACACCGGCTCAAGTTGCACGACCTCCTTTACCAATTACCACGTCGCCTCCAGCCGCGCCGTCAAAGTTTGTGGTGTCATCAGTTGCTTCAGTACCTGCCGCCAGTGCAACAAATGTAATTGGTAGAGAGGGTGCCAACTCCTTGAACCCCACCACGTGTCCACCGGCGGCATTTGTATCTGCTCCTCAGTCATCTCCATCTTCTCAGGCTGCTGTTAGTGTTGTTGGGAATAAATTCACAGTAAGTTTTTGTTTTGCCTGCCTACACATCACAGGAAGCGTGTTATTACGTCGTTCATAAAATCCGTAAAATGCAAAAAAAACTCGAAAAATGTAACGGTGGTAGTAGGAAGAGAAAGCAGTTATCTTGTAAGGTCGATCACAATCATTCAACTCCAACTGGTAGTAGTATGAATCTGACTATGGGTTTTGATCTTTCCAATGGTCTCCTCCCACTTTCATGCGTATTGCCATATACGTTTCGTGCGTCTCTACCTACTCCTTTCTTCTTGGTACTGCTTCGGTTGATTGGATTTTACCTTCTTTCTTTACAAATTTGAGAGAGTAGGGGGATATTGGTGTACCCCCAACAGTAGATAAACCGTATGCTTTGAGCACTATGAAATGGGGAGGACCTTAGTGAGTTATTCAAGGCAGGTGAATATTGCTTGGTGGAAATAGAGGAGGCTTCTGTCTTCCTCTTATGAACCTTTTGGATTACCTCGTATCTACGTAAATTTGAACTTGCTAGAGCACTGCAAATAGGTGGATAGTTATGTTTACTTAAATCTCTTCTTATCTGGCATTAAATTTTCTTTAGTTTGCCTTCATCGATCCAATTCAAGTAAGTCAAGCAGATGCATCTATGCATGTAAAGTGAATATTTATTGCCTTGTTGAGGAAAAAGTAACTACCATGGTGTCCCCTCTACTTAGAGGGCGCCTCCTTAGTGGGACTCCCAATGGAATTGCTAAGCTAAAATTACCTTATTCTTTCCCCTCTACTCTTTGCTTAAAGGTCTTGCCAGTTGACCAAATTCTGAACCAACCAATTCCTCCCGAGTCCACTCACCCTCCTTCACAGCCTGTCCCACCATCTCAGTTGCCTCCAATGGCCTCCCAAAATCCTGTATTCCCTCCTCAAGGGCAGCCCCCAGTTCCAACTGTCTCTGCTGTTGCTGCGCCCAAGAAAATCCCACCCAAGTTCACGGTATGTTTGCGTATCCGTTTTTCGGTTTGCCCATCTTTGCGCGGAACATTATAAACCCCGTGTTCATTACAAAGAGGGGTTTATTGTCCAGGTTAGGGGAGGGGGATGTATGTCACGATTTCGGAGATTAATTATCTATGGATGGGTCTTAAGTACTAGAAACGCGAATCACAGTTGGAGATGCATTACTCCTCTCAATTCTCATTCCACTTAAGAGCATTAATTTAAATTTGAAGCTCCAGTTCTTTTTTTCATTAGAAGTTGAAAGTAGTGGTCTCATTCACATCTATCGAAGGTTTTAATGCGCAAAAAAACGTTCTCTTTCAGTATGATGCATGCTTTCACAAGGTGATAATTGTACTAATTTTCCCTTAACCCTTGGGTTATAAAAGTAATTGCGTGCTCTTTCAGGTTAAACCGGTTTCAGAAGCCTAGAAACCGTCTTTTCCCACTCGGTAAGTGCCTCTCCCCATCCACCCTCGCTTCACATCACTTTTGCCTCTCATATTTATTCAAGACAAAATGCATGCAATCGCGCGCGCGGCTTATTCATTCATTCGTTTCCCATTTTATTATGGTTTTTACCTACTTAAATACATTTAAGTATGTGTGATTATCCGATGTTGTAAAAGGTGCACTCTCGCGTTCGCAGTTAAATGCATGTTCTATTCCATCTCACTTTCTTTATAGCGATGAAGATCAGTACGTTATTGCTTCCATTTTTTATTCCCATTAACAAGCTGCTTTTGGTGTTGTTTAACGCTTGATTACTTTGAGTGCGGGGGGCTTAATTGGGTGCTAATCCTGAGATCAAGTATTAATACCTTGGTTTTGTTGATTAGGTGACAGCAGTTGATGATGTGTCCGCACCTCCTCCACTGCCAAGTGTCATCAATGGATCGAATTCATTGTCATTGAAAGCTCCACAACGGCGTGAGACTCTCTTGAAGGCTGTATTGGACGGTGACCTTTCGACAGAATGCCCACCACCCCCGACAACCCCCTCCAATGTCAATACGAATTCTGTTATGAACACTCCTACGCCTTCTCCGCCACTTTGTGTTGCGCCTCCGCCCTCTCCTCCCCCTCCTCGAAAATCGATTCCCCGTAACCCTAATGTACCTTCACAGATGTAGACAAGGGAGTACTTGACCTTGTTGGTTGCATTCGCTTTCATTTTATTAGCACATTTGCGCCTCCTCACCCATGATGTAATCTATGTGCATCTCTTCTCTCTGTCTCTTCCTCTCGAATAATGTCTTTCAGGAATTGGAATCGTGTGTGATTCTTCATCGTCACCCTATGATCTCCTTTCTCTCATGAACTTCCATTTGAACTCTACTTGTCTGGCCTACTTCTATCTGTTGCTTGCGCTTTCTAGATGTCTTTTTTTTAGTTTGATGTGTGTTTATTTGTGGTTTGGTCGTGTCCTCCAACTCTCTCCACCTCCACGTCCCCCCCC